TGTGTGTGTGTGTGTGTGTGTGTGTGTGTGTGTGTGTGTGTGTGTGTTTGTGTGTGCAGGGTATCTTAGTGACGTGGACCAAAGGGTTTAAGGCGACAGACTGTGAAGGAGAGGATGTGGTGGGACTACTGAGGGAGGCTATTAAAAGAAGAGAGGTACAGCATGAGGAGACACATTATTTAGTTACCACAGTAACAGCTCTGTGCAGGAGGAGAAATCATACTGTGTGCTGTTTTTAAGGAGTTTGACCTGGATGTGGTGGCCATAGTCAATGACACAGTGGGAACCTTGATGACCTGTGCCTATGAAGAGCCCACCTGTGAGGTCGGACTCATTGCTGGTCAGTTTACTTCGTTTTCATTCAGTACGATGAATATTTGACTCCCTGCACTCAGTTCCTCTAATGATCACCTCTGGTAAACAGGAACTGGCAGTAATGCATGCTACATGGAGGAGATGAGGAACATTGAGATGGTCGAGGGTGATGAGGGTCGGATGTGTGTCAACATGGAATGGGGGGCCTTTGGAGACAACGGATGCCTCAACGACATCCGGACAGAGTACGATAATGCTGTAGACGACTTTTCTCTCAACCCGGGAAAACAAAGGTGCCGAATAAAGGAAAAAAAATCAAATGTTCTGGCTTCATATGCTAATGTCACAGTTATAATCTAATCCATGCCTGTGTGTAATTTATGCTCTGTTTTCTTGTGAATTTGCAGATATGAGAAAATGTGCAGTGGCATGTACCTCGGAGAAATTGTGCGGAACATCCTCATAGACATGACCAAGAAAGGCTTCCTGTTCAGGGGACAGATTTCTGAAACTTTAAAGACCAGAGGCATCTTTGAAACAAAGTTCCTCTCACAGATAGAAAGGTAATGGGTTTGTGTCGTGATTCCGGCTCTAAAAGCTGCAGTGTGTGGCTGTAGAAAGAAATTAAATTAATATACAAAACTGTGAGGTGGACATTGCACTGTATTTGCACTCAAAACTGAAAATGCAACAAATTATTAATTTTGTTATCAACCAGCTGCCATCAGGTTTTTTTCTTTTAAATGTAATGCAAATAGAGACTGGAATTGTACACAAGGGTTTCTGCTACATAACCCATAAATGGTGTCAATAATGAACCTCCTGAACCCATGTTTCTCTCTCCAGTGACAGACTGGCTTTGCTGCAGGTGAGAGCCATCCTGCAGCACTTGGGGCTGGACAGCACCTGTGATGACAGTATCATTGTGAAAGAGGTAGGGGAGCCAGATGTTGGTGAGCCTAACAAATTAAATTGTGTGTTGCTGATTCAGCATTCATCCTGTTTGCACGATTTTTTATTCCTCCACACGTTTTTTGCAATCTTACTGCTTCTGCAGGCTTTGCGTGTTTTGAGTCATTCATATATCAAACTGTTCAGCTCGTTCTGGAGATGGGTGCTATGGCTTTTGTTGATTTGTAACTACTTTTTATACTTTTCAAAAAAATATTTAACTTTATTTACAAAAATGTTACCCATAGAAATATATTAAGACCTTTTTTAAATCCTTTAAAAACATTGCTCTATTTTTACTTGCTGTACTTATGTTTAGCTTTTAGCTACTATTTTGCTACTTTTATCTTTTAACTAACTTTTTGCTACCCAAGTTCATGCTCAATAATTCAGGTATAAAATCCAACAATGTTCAGTCAGGTCATCTGAACAGTTTATTTTTTTGCTGAGACGTTTCTTCCTTCATCTAAAGGACTTCTTCAGTTCGAGAAGCCACCAACCAAAACTGATTCCCACAAACAGCACATTCCATAGCGTAAAAAAAAATCAGTTTGCTGGTGCTAAGATGGCCTCTGGGGCCCGCCCTCTTCTTCGTCAACTCCTCTGAGACAGTCATGCCAAAGTGGTTCAAAACACCAAAGTTCATGTTCAACTTTTGCTACTTTTAGCTTTAGCTTTTAGCTATTGTTTTACAGCTTTTTACTACAATTCTGCTATTATCTACATGACCTGACACAATAGCAAATTTTGCTGGGCGATTAATTGTCTCATAAATTATTGCGATAACCGATAATATTGTTTGAAATTTTACATTAATTAATTATTGCCAAATTTAAGAAGAAATGTTGGTTAATTTGTTTTGCCCATGACCCAAAATGGAAAAAGCAGATAAACGATAAGGGACGGATGGAATTTGTTTTGCATGTAGTACCTTTTTTCGACCACCGGATGGCAGTGTACCATACCATACCATTTTATTTATAGAGCACTTAAAACAGCGACAAGGCCAACCAAAGTGTAAGACACTTTGCATCAAAGGATGGATAGTGAGGGAGCGAGCAACGTGTCTCTTTAAGAAAAATGGGAGTGAGGCCCCTTGACGTGACATGGGCTGTCTCTCTTCGGTTCTCAAAAAGGCGGACACTCTGTGTGATTTGAGCTCTTTAGCATAGCATTTTTCACACAGAGCTTTTAATAAAAAATCAGTAAACAAGTTCTCAGCTTCTTTTTGCAGAGAAAAACTTTTACACGAAGGCACGGGTTTCAACCATGAATTTTGGAGCTTCAACAAGACGGAGGTTTTTTCCTGAGGTCGGCCTGTTAGCTTAGCTCGTAGCTTAGCTTCTCATCTTAGCTGCTTTTAATGATCTAAAAACGTGATTTTGGATGGTTAAAATGCATTTTAAAGACTAAAAAGAAAGGGATGGGTCAGTGAAGAGCACCGGAGTTGAGGATTTTGTCATCCAGTGTCCAGTAGAAAGAGACACGAAGAAACTATAAAGCCGATAAATGAAAACGAGGTTGATAATTTTCATTTATCATGCGATTAATTGATTTATTGTTTTTTGTGACAGGCCTATTCACGATGAATACAGTTCAGTCTGAAACAGTGGCGAATCCCGTTACAACTCTTTTTCAGTGTCTTGTGAAAGAGAAGAAAGTGTTCGTTCACTTGCAACAGATTTGTCAACGCTGTGTTTGTTTTCCAACTTCTGCCTCTGTTAACTTTGTGTGGTACAATCTGTTAGCTGTTGCAATATTGATAAGGTTTTCATTGTTAGGTGTGTGGAACTGTGGCACGTCGTGCTGCTCAGCTGTGCGGCGCAGGAATGGCAGCTGTCGTGGATAAGATAAGAGAAAACCGCGGACTGGACCACCTGAACGTCACCGTGGCCGTAGATGGAACTCTGTACAAATTACATCCCCAGTAAGTTCAAATCATCACAAATACAACTTACTAATAAAGGAGGTTAATGAAACTCACTGAAAGTAATCAACGTGTCTTACGAGCTCACACACTATCACGTGAGAATGTGCACGTCGTTTACAAAGTTTTACAAAAATGCTCATAGCTCTGTCCCTTCTAATCGTAAGATGATCTTAATCTTACACTCCGGCATGAAAGGCAGCAGGTGACATGCATTCCTTCTAAGAAAATACCATACCTTTAATTTATTTTCTTCCCTTCAATGTCAAGTCTTGATTTTGTCAGAACATTCCCTTATGAGGATTTGTCTGAATACACATTCAAGTGCCGACGTTTTCACTCTCAGCAGGTTCTTAATTTTTACTTTACAAACTTTTAAAAAGGAATGGAAATGTTAAGGGTCAAAGAACATGTTTGTTGCTGCAGCACCTTTTGCCGTCTTCAGTCTAAAATGATCTGCTCATGTCTCTGTAAGGTTCGTCTTTTCGCTTTAGTTGTCAGAAATGATGGAGGACCAGACATCTTTGCATTCTTAGTTTTACCACAAAGGTCATTTAGCAAGAATTCTGCAAATGTGTCTCGATGTGATGTCAGAAATCCACTACTAAATCTGAATGCAGAAAACTTCTCTGTTTTACCGCTCCAGCAAGGTTTCTAAAAATCATTTTTGTGGATTTTGTGTCATTATTTTGACAGACAGACAGAAAACAGCTGCAAAAACATAACCCCACCAGAGGTCATAAAAGCTTCAGACATGTGAATAACATGCCTTTGTACAATGGTGCATAGTCAGTCAGGTTAAGTCAGGTTTTTGCAAAGTTACTGTTGAACATGTGACCTGTTATTAGCTGCACAATAGAATAGAAAAACTACTGGTGTGAGTGAATATTTAAACTGTTCAACCTGTTAAACATGTGATCCTTAAGTTTCCAGCTCTGACTCCTCCACATTCTGTCTGATTTAAAACGAAAGTTTACCGTATTTACCGCTGTAAGCGTCGCACCACACTATAAGTCGCATCAGTCCAAATATGTGTAATAAAGTGGAAAAATCAATAAATACATTGCATCTAATATGCGTCACCGCTGACAACCCGGAAATGTGGGCCGGTGTTGTGCCAAAAATCGATTGGCTGCCAAATGGTGGCCGCAGGAGCGTGCGCGGGAGTACTTTAACAAGAATTTAACAAGACTAACACCTAAAAACAATTATTTGTTTGCTTGAAATTATAGCAAAGGTGTGTCTCAGTCTAACTTTTCCTTAATAAATGCACTTCGACGGTCAAATCGGATGCATTTCAAAAGCCGATACGCGGAAACACGAACGCTCAGAGGGCGACTTGGTCCATTTCTTCGAAATTTAACAAGAACCACCTAAAAACAATTATTTGTTAGCTTGACTTTATAGTAAAGGTGTGTCTCAGTTGAACTTTTACTTAATAAATGCACTTCAATGGTCAAATTTGCTGCATTTCTCCAGGGCGGTGCAGCGAAATGAAGCTGCTTTGACGGTTGCTCCAGGCAGATGACGGTGTCAGGCTGTTGCAAGCCAGTTGTGTCATTAATAGCCACTTTTACCTATTACATGATACAACAGCATACCATACTGCAAGACTGCCATCTAGCGGCTGAAAATGGAAGTGTTCAATATTCTCAGTGAGAATGAATGAAGGTCATATCTCAGCCAAAAATTGGTTTATAAATATGGAAGAAAAAAAACATAAATACATTGCTTACGTCGCAGGGCATGCAAATTATGCAAAAAAACTGCAACTTATAGGGCGAAAAATACGGTAACTAACCCAAATTAGATATTACCATTATGGCTTTTTAATTTTATTTCTTTGTGTAAAATGATGTAAAATCTCTTCTCTGTCTAGTTTCTCTGGGATCATGCATCAGACCGTTGCTGAACTGGCTCCTCAGTGTACCGTCAACTTCCTGCTGTCAGAGGACGGCAGCGGGAAAGGAGCCGCTCTCATCACGGCTGTGGGTTGCCGGCTCAGAAAGCAGGAGCTCAACAGTAAATAACGGCAAAAGAAAATCTCCTGTTTCGTTGTTCTCACTCCAAAACTCCCAGCAGACATCCCACCTTTTCCACAGATTGTGTCATTTTCTTCCAAATCAAGCCATGGCACTCCAGTAGCTGCTTTAGCTCGTGCCTACAGGACACAGACACTGGGAGACAGATTCTTCTGTTGTGTAGTTAGATTATTTTAATTATTATATTTTGTAACAGTACCTAATCTTTTAGTGTGTTGCAGTTTTGTCTTTTTTTTTTTTGTGTAAAAAGTAAAACTAGTATAATACGTGAAAATAAGGATTTCCGACACACTCCTGTAATGCTCCTCTGTTCCCATCTGGTGGAACCTTCTAGTTACTGCACTCTTTCGACATTCAGAAGAAGCGGATGATAAAAAGGCACGTTTTAGACCAAAGTGTGTCTGCTGTATGCATCACACTGTTTGTACAGGAAGACTAAATAAAAGGGATATGCAAGAGTGTATAAATTGTACCGAGATAAAAGTAATATTTTTTCTCTTAAAGTTGTAAAACCTTACCCAGATTTAATGCAATATGTTATATACAATATTGTTATTTATTTTATTTCTATGTTGGGGAATGTTCATGAATATTACTATTATATGATGATGCACACAGAAGATGCCACTGACATTCGCTGCTTGTTATCAGCGCTTCATCAGCATAAATCGGCTGTTTGACGTGTTTGTCTGTTATGTATCGTGAACTACGTCATGCTGTTGGTACTAATCCCAGCTGTGGAAAAACAGCTGTCAGTTTATGATGTTTTGGCTGTTCTCATCACCAGCATGGTGCTAAAAGGAGGGCCAAAGAGACAACAGTCCAAGTGTAGAAATGTGCTTCTAACATCTCAGGAAACTCTAGGTTTTCACTTTCACATCTTTTACTTTAAGGTTCTTCATTTATATTTAGTTTTAATTAATTACAAATAAAATATCATAGTGTTGGTCACCACATTCATGCTATTTTTAAAAAAATGTGAATTTGCCATCTGTGTCGAGGCTGGTCCTTTTTGATCAAATGTTGGAGAAAACTATATTTTCTGAGTTCAGTTCAAACACAGTAACTCTGTGGATAAATGTTTTGCCTTCATAACTTTTACTGTCATCTTTCTTTAGGTAATTAAACTAAAACGCAGCGAACTGTCCTGACTGTCAGGATTTAGTTTTTTTCAAGGACAGCTTCTTTAATGTGTCCTAAACATGGCTGCTTTAATGTTTTCCTCAAATTCAAAAGACAAAATCAGTTTGATCAACCAAAACTCTTACCAATCTGTCCTCACTTTTGTTCTCAAACCTTAGATGTGTTTGGTTAAACGCTGACGCTCAATAAAGTCCAACGTGTGTTCATCTGATGTTGTCTTTGTAGGAATTTCACACAAATGTTTTGTTCACTACACATACCCCTAAGCCAAAGAGAGGATATGATGTTAAATATGTGAACGCACCCTTTAAACAAATTAGATGTTAATGGTTTCGCATAACATCGTGCTGATAACACCAGAGTCTGGCACAAAAATGACAAAAAGTTGTTTTCTGCAATATCTATTCATTATTTCTTGTCAAACAGAATGTAAAAGTTACATTTGGATTGCTTGTTCTGGATTTTTTTATTGAAATAGTTGACCAGTGCATCCGTCTGATCGGGCTGTTGGATAATTTAATTATCCTGTGATCATCAACTCATTAAATAAATAGCCACAAAGAGGACAACGAGAAGATCTTTATTAGCCCAGGTTTAATCCTGCAAGAGGAGCAGCGTTGAAATACAAGCATCAAGATGTTAATGGCGCTTTGTCTCCAAGGTCTGCTCACAGGCAGTATAAGGAAGTGTCTTTTTATATCAAGACAGAGGCGAGGTGAAGACAACCTCTCAAGACTACTCTGCTTTCCAGCTTAGGGTCTTGAAGTTTATCAGTTGCGCAGGTTTAATGCACTTGCAGGCTCCACTTTGCAAAGACAAAACAACTTCTCCACACACATGGTTCTATGGCATTTGACAGTAGTAAGTGAAACATCCATGACCTTTACATCCCCCTTCACGGGCCACTGAAGGTGACCAATCGGAGCACGCTGGGCTTTTTTTATTTTAAACGATTGGCACGGTCTATAAAGTAAATGCAAATATTGTTTTTTTTCCCCTCTTTTTTTAACAGTGAAATTTTATTACCACTCATCAAAACTTAATACTGACTGAATGAAGGTCACAGTATTAAAAAAATCAGTCTAGCTTTGTGCAGGCAACAAATACAGATGTTTCACAAAGTTACAAGTGTGTATCGTACAAGTTAAGTGTATTTTTTTAACCAATATCCTGAAATCATAACACACATGAGGTACAGTGCCTGTATTTAAAAGATCACAAGTTCAGTATTTACAGTTTTACTCCTTATTCACACTTAAGTGAAATATTAAACTTTACTGTAAATATTTTAAGACAAGTCAAATCACAATACATAATAAATATGAATGCACACCAGCACATTAACTCATACGTCCAAATCAGACAATAAATATGCAGGGCTATTGTTATTGTTGTTTTAAATGTATACTGTCATAAAAAAAAAAAAACAAGTGGGAGGATCTAACCTTGTTGATGATCACATTTTTCTCCTATTAAATAAAATCTACAGCGACTGTAGGTTTGCAGCTGCTGAAATGTCAGGTTCCTAATTCTTGTGCTTGGACAGAAAATAAACCATCTAACAAACACTTATTGTTAATGTTGAATTTCACCATTAAAGAAAACATCAGTACAATAAATTACACAAACACAATCAAATGCTCTAATTGTGACAGACTTTGTGTTAAAGCAGTAAAAACACCTGACTTTGTTAAGGCTCGGTGCTGGTGTCGCTGAACTGTTTGTCCGATCAGTCAAACCACTTTCAAATAGAAAAATTCACCAGAAGACAAAAAAACCCACACCATCGGATAAAAACAAAGATGCTTCATATTCAGACGTTCTCAATAGCAGCAAAATTTACAGTGTCACAATCTGTTGCTTTTTTCAGTACGCACAGTATTTTCAGTGAGATAAACACTTAGGAGCAGCACGGTGGCTCAAGTTGCTGCCTCTCATAGAGCAGGTTCCCGGTTCAAATCCCAGTCCGGGGGCCTTTCTGGGTGGAGTTTGCATGTTCTCTCCGTGCATGCGTGGGTTTTCTCCGGGTACTCCGGTTTCCTCCCACAGATCAAAAACATGCATGTTAGGCTGATTGGTAACTCTAAATTGTCCCTAGGTGTGAGTGAGAGAGTGAATGGTTGTTTGTCTCTATGTGTCCTTGTGATGGACTTGCGACCTGTCCAGGATGTCCCTCGCCTCTCATACAGTGATAGCTGGACATGGGCACCAGTGAACCCCGCGACCCCCCCAAAAAAGAAGCGGGTAAAAGATAAAGGATAAACACTTGTGATGGTAGTGCTGTTTCTAGTTGAAAAGTCACAGGGTTGTTTTCCTGTATTTTTAAATTTTTTTCATTTAGCCTTTATTTATACAGGTAGTCTCGTTGAGCCACGAGAACTAATTTTCAAGAGAGACCTGTTTAGGGAGCAGATGGGGTTAAGGGCCTTGCTCATGGGCCCAGGGTGGGGTGAATGAGGGTGGGGGCAGGTGTGGGTGCTTCACCTACCCCACCCACATTTTTGATGTTGTCGGTACCGGGGCTTGAACCGGCGATCTTCCGATCACAGGCCCACCTTCTCTATCCTCTGCACCACCAATCCCCCTGTATGTTCTCCATGTGTGTCTTTTCGAGCTTTTTAAAGTTCTCTGTGGTCCAAAAACATGCAAGTAAAAGATTGATAACTAGAAAGTTCCTGGAGAAACTTTGATGGAGACTGCCATGTGGCACCTATTTAAAAATTTAGTTTTTACAGTACTATGTGTTGGGGTTCACTCTCAGCTACCATCATACCCAATTTCAGCTCAGTATCCCAAAGAATGACTGAGATAGTCAATTTAGAGTTTTCAGAGGTAGTTGTGGAGGCCATCTTGAAACAAAATGGCTTCAAAAATCAGAGACCTCCTCAGTCTAGGTCATGTGACCTCACTGTGGCAGTTAGAGGCTGTTAAAAGTTCCGTCAGGCGTTTTGAATGAGAAAAATGGTGTCTTTGTTTGCAAATTAGGTTGCCATGGTAACTTGAAACACCAATGAAAGTAATAGCACACATCACGGTGCTGAGCCGGTCCTTTTGATGTAACATTTGTGGGAGTACATGTTGCGGTTCGGGCCGTATTAAAGTTGATAGAAGAGCAAGACCCTTTTCAGGTGGCTGCCTTTGTAGGCAAACCTCAATCAGCCAAAGGATGAAGGTGCATGTTGTTTTTTTGTTTGTTTGTTTGTTTGTTTGTTTCTGCGGGTCTTGTTATGAATAGATTTGTCTGTTGAGGGCACGCCATGTTTCTTGCTTTGTTAGACTGAAGCCCCTACAAGATCCTGAAGGAGGTTTGAAAAACCTTCCTTCCCTCAGTCAGATCTGTGCATGTACCTCATGCACCATTAACCAGTGTAACCGGTGACAACATCCAGTGAGCAGCTCCTTCCTCCAGGACTTTCTTCTGCAAACAACAACAACAACAAAAGTTTCTTATCAGCTGCTGACCTTTCTTTTTCCTAAAGGTCTGCAGTCTTTCTGCAGTCTTTCTGCTGTCTCGCTGCCTTCTCAGTTCCAATGTTTCTATCAGGGTTAGTTTTAAAGTCCAGGGCTTTGCTCCGTATATTTGGCAGCTGAGGTTGTTAAATCCATCTTCTTGGGCAGATGTGACTTGGATGTGCTGCATGTCTGTTTTTTCCTCTGCAAACATGCATCTCTCTCCGTGCTGTTAGTTTTGATGGAGGCGTGCGTGTGTGACGTTTCACTGCGTCGGCTGCGCGTCACTGTGGCTCTGAAAGTGTTTTTGTGCTGCAGCTCCATCCTGTCCTCCTCCGACACGTTGATGAAGGGACACCAAACAAAGGCGTGACGGAAACCGGCACGAAATCTAAAACAAGAGAAGGGAGCGTGTTCTCAACTGTTCAGAGGTCTAAACGTGTAAAACGTTCATTTTTGAGACGTTGCAACGACTTAAATAGTCGAGGCAGGCAGATGCGTTCAAATATTGTTGTACCTTTGATTTAGACAGCAGTAAATAATAGGATTGTACATGGTTGAACTCATGGCCAACCAGAAAATGGCCAGATATACCTGACAAAGAAACAAAAGCTGCGTTAACAACAGATAGCGTCATGGATAAAGTAAGTAAAACAGATAAGTTGTTACTAACCTGCTGAATGTAATGCTGTTTATAAATGTCTCTGTTAATTGAGCCCAGAATGAAGTAAATATGGTAGGGCATCCAACAGAGAGCAAAGGTCACCACCACGACCACCATCATCTTCACCACCTGCAGGACGAAGAATCACAGACTCATGTTCCCGTCGTGCATCTGATGAAGGAAGTTGTTTTCTCACTATCTGAACCGTAATGAACAGATGGACCTTTCTCTTGGCTGTTATCTGGCTGTGGTAGTGATCTGAAGCCTCCCCAGGGATGTGGCCACCCCACAGTGATCGGCCAACTAAACTGTAGGTCACCAGCATCACCAGCAGAGGGACCAAGTAGATCAGGAGGATCACGGCAAACTGATAGCTGCACAAACACAAATGGAGGAGAATCAAGAAAATAAAAATAATGAACACTTGTGCTTTCCTCCTTTTACCTTAGTTGATGTGTTCCTCCATAATCATCAGGCCAGTCCACCATGCACACAGTTCTGGGGTAGTAAAATCTTGTCACACTGTAGTAGCACTGAGGGAAGGCCAGAGAGAACGCCACCATCCAGATCACAGCAATCACCACTTTTGTGGATGTAGAGGAGAGACGAGGCTTTAAGGGATGGATGATGGCCATGTACCTTAAAAATCAAGAAAACTTCATTCAGTTTGCAGGAATGGATGTGAAGAACAGAACATCAACTCTGGACATTGTTGCAATAGGCACCAAGTCGGGAAAAAACATCTCTTTTAAATAAATACTCGTTTTGTGGATGGTAGAGGTCCTGTCAATGTTTAAAGGATGAAAACACTGTTTTATAGAGTTCATAACGGGCTGTTTTCTTTGCTTGAAAAATCAATAATGCTTCGATTCAAATAATGGGGAACAATTTTTTTATCTACCCCTTAAAATCAATCATCATTTTGAAGTGTTAAATGGTGATTTTGCAGCAGCAGCTCTGTTGAGTTCCCATCAGTTTTAGTGACAGAGAATCAGAAACGGGTTTATCATGCAGTCAGTTATACCATGGCAGAAAATCGACAAATAAAGCTCGCTCTTTGTCTCCGAGCGCCTGCCTGAGCAGCAGACACAATCCAATATACTGACAATTACTTTCAGTTCCAAATATAAATCATATTTATCTGAGGTCATAACACAGAGGAGGTGTGCTTTTTAGATGGGTGGTACGTGTCTACATCCAAACGGCCCAAAGCTTTCAGTGTAATGTGATTATTTTCCACACCTGTCCGTGGTGTTTTATCTCCTGCATAAGTTCATTTGGAACATGTGCTGGTGTTGGTTATGGTAACCTGACTTTAACTTAGTTCGTTTTAATGGACCAGAATAAACAAACAAAAAAAGATAAAATAATACATTCTTAATAAACAGCAATAAACTCGTCATTATTTTGTTTAATTATTGAGTTATAAAGATATATTGATGCAACTATACGTACTGAAGCATTCAGTTAACAGTGTGCCTCATTTGCATGAAGATTAAATTTCCTTTTGAAGTCCACCGTTTTGAATTTTATGATTAGTACAATTGTATAATTGGGTAGTTTGCTAGATATTAAATCAAATATAGCCCCAAGATTTCATTATTATTATTATAATTTCTAATGACCCTGCTCTTTAACTCGTTTTGGTTGATGTAGTAATGTGTTTCATCAGCGTCCCCGTCTCCTAAAAGATTAATATTGTTGCTGCTTTATTTTAGGGGCAGCAGAAAATTGCATCCATTGTTCTGGTTTAAATCCATTCGTTGCAGTCGTTTGGTCAGAACTGATTGTCTTCTGCAGCTGCTAAAAAACAACAACAACAAATAAATAAATAAGTTAAATAAAACCATAGAAAAAATCTGAAAGAAGATCCCACACTGGAATTTAACAGAAATAATATATTAGATTGAGCAACTTTTCCATCTGAGTTGATATCTGCACATGGCTGATTTATCTTCTGTCCCAGGAGCCATGAATCAAACAGACAGCGTGCTGAATATGAATAAATTAGTCTAATTAATACCAGTTGTGCAGTGAACAAAATGAAAAATGAATCAGAAGAATCCAAACTCTTTAGCTGATCTTTAAAAAGCATGCACAAGATGTTTGGAGTAAATACATTTTATTTTAAAGGCAGCAAAATAATCAAATTGTCGGTTCTATAAGAAAACATGAAACTACAATTAAGAAAAAAAAATGTAGAAACTGATCAGTTTAATTAAAAATCTGAAATGTAAGTTTTAGTTTGCCACATTATTTTCTTGAAATTGTCTGGATATAAAATAGGCTGTTGTGAAAAGTAAGTCCTCAATCATCGTTTGGAAGCTGTTAAAACCTCGTGTCATTTGGAAACTCCTGGTTTCTGAACTGCAGCTGGTCCCAGTGTTCCAGCTCCATTAAAAACTGCTGTCTACAGTTTGAAGTTTCCCTCCTACTTGTGGTTTTGGTCTCCTCACTGTCAAGCTGTGATGATTGCAGAATGTCCCCTTAAAGGACTTTCAATTAAAAATCAACACAAAAATTCATGTTGGATTTTTCAGTCTCGCTTTGTTTTCTTGTCAAAATAATGTTTTTTTTTTCATAACACAAACTGATTCTTTGACTTAATAAACGTTTTGTTCAGATTTCAGTCAGCAAGACTTTCAATTTATCGGTCATCAAGTATTTATAGCATCAAATTCATTATTTGGGAATTTAGGGTTAAAACTCTGAAAGGGAAACAATCTGAGTCTCAGTTCTTTTCTCCTCTAAATATTTTATTTGTCTTTAACAGCAGCTTTTTATGAAGAAAACCTTTAAACCATTAGCAAAGTTAAGTCAGGTCCTCTGGACGGTTTCTTTTATGTTTAAACGTTTCGTCTGTCATCCAAAAGACTTCATCAGCCTCAACAAACTCAGTCTTATAAATATCACCTTGACATCAGGTCAACCAGTTTGATGGTGCTAAGATGGTTTCTGGAGTCCGCCCTCTCCCCGGCCGACTCAGTCAGCCATGGCCAAAGTGGTTCAAACCATTTAAGTCATGTTCAATAATCCAGGTAAGAAAAGTCTAACAACGTTAATCAGGTCCTCTGGACGGTTTCTTTTTGTTGAAATGTTTCAAAAATAGAAACCGCCCAAAGGACCTCACTTTTTACCTGGATTATTGAACATGACCTTTGATCTTTTAAACCTCTAGTTTTTAATGCAACATTTTTCAGTCAGGTCATCTGGACAGTTTCGTTTTTATTGTGCTGAAACGTTTCGCCTTCGATCCG